GGGGGGGGGGGGGGATTAGAATAAAATTTTTTAAAAATTACAGAAAGGGGGTAGGAGTTTGCCGGGGGAGACGAGAGAGGTGGGAGGGGAGGGGAAAAGAGAAGGGGGCGGGAAAGGACTTTTTTAAAATATTTTATTCTAATTATAATATTTTTTTTAATATAAAAAACACTATCCACGTGCCTTGGCAACGTGATTTTCATACAATTTAGTTATGCCAGCTGCACCACTTTCACATAGACATGGTTAACGGTCAATGGTATCTATTGGTATCCATTTTGTCAAGTTGAAGTATTCAAATGAGAAAAATGTAAGTTGAAGTATCGATTTTACAAACCGATATAAGTTTAAGTGGCCACGAGGCCATTTAGCCTATTAATTATTCTTCAAAGTAAAAATAGTTTCATGGGGACGTATAAAAAAGAAAGATGACAACTGATATTGACTAGAAGAGCACCCTTCATAATAAAAAATTTCAAAAAATAGCAACTTAAGGGAATATTGGTCCCTTAATTTTAGGCTTAGAATTTTGGTAAACCTTATCCCTCTCAATTTTTCGTCTCTCTTAGTTTTTCTTACGTAATTTGAATCATATATTAAATGAAGTTGAACTACCAAATAGGTACCAATTTCATAAATGAAGTTTGTCTAATCAATTGGTGAAGGAACACGTTAATCTAAACACATCAGATTAACACGTAAATCGTAAAACGAGAACTTACTTGTTCTTCGTGAAGCGAAAGCGGAAGACGGATGAACCGCTGCTGGAATAACTGATCGGTAGTAGTTATCACGATGTGTTAGAGCAACCCCCTATTCCACAGTCTAAACCCTAGTCTGAATTTAGGAGAAGACTGGCGTAGAAAAATACTGCAGAATGTCTCACTTTATTGTACACAGTAAGTGTTCTTATATAGGGAATAGTAGGGTTACAGTAATTACTAAAATTATTGTGCTTTGCCTAGTGGTCCCTAAGAGCACCCCTTATGGGTGGACTCTATTTCCTACATCTCCTACTCACACATAATGGAAGTGCTCATCTAGTTTTAGAAACATATTCTCAACCCATCTCCTCAATCATTCATACAGGGAAATAGAATGTGCGATCAGCATACTGTGAGGGCTAAATGTTATACATTTGTTAGGAGTATATAGCCTCTCATCGAGTGCGAACCTGCAAGTAAATCATAAAGTATGCAGTACCCTAGATCATATAAATCACATTTGATATAGTCTCAAAATCTCATATATCATTATTTTTTGTATTCACAATCATAACTCATAAGTTATAATTGGTGCACCAGTGAATATAAATAAATGAGATTAAATCAATGATCTTCCTCTTCTCACGATCCCCTTAATATTAGTATGACTAATTTTCTAGATATGCTCCTCTAGACTGAATCTATGTACATAATCCTTTGGAAATACACTAAGATAGCTAACATCACACTAAGTCTCAAGTATCTGATCGGAGTCTCTAAGGGTACAAAATCTTGGGCCATCATAAAAGCTCTGGGTCTCATACAACAATAACTTGAGAATGGACTTATGTTAACCCAATTGGTCGATATTAGCACACATGGTATGAAACACATGCTACAATATTTTTTCCATTTTCTCAAGGAGCGTATGTCTTCATCTCATAAAGAATATTGTACAAATGATATTTAGGTACCATAAGCATCTAAATTTGAGTTCCTTGATCTACAAAATCATATTTAACTACAACTGGCTCACAAAGTAGATTATGTGAACGTTTTTCACCCTAATGACCTCATGTCATTGTTTAAGCGACATTCTGATTTTAAGCGAATAACTCTCAAATTATCCTTATGATAATTTTGCTTAAAATCATGTCTCATATCCTCACATCACTAAGATAAGGAGGCGGTTGCCTGTGTGAGAAGGCCAACCTCTTGTCTACCCGACATACTTGCAAAAAAAAAGTGAACAAAGAATGCACATAACATTCAGCAACATAAATATGTATGTATGTAAATCAACTTTATTGATAATAAAAAAAATATCAGTTTTGTGAACATGGGAAAATGAATAACAAAATGAAGAATATAAAAGTCTACGCAAGCCTTGAGACCCAGTGTGTCTCACAAATGCATCTCTAGACAAAGACTTGGTCAATGGATCTGCTAACATATCTTTTGTAGACACATACTTCACATTACCTTGCGTCTAACCATGTTTCTCGCATAGTTATACTTGATATCTATGTGTTTGGTTTTACAATAAAACTTAGGGTCCTTGGTAGAGGATATTGCAGCTTCACTGTCACAGTAGACTAACATTAGTTCAGCATTTTCTATGATATCCAATAAGTGTTCCAATAACTATTTCAACCAAACAACTTCTTGTGCTAATGATGCGAGAGCCACGTATTCGTCTTCCATCATAGATAGTGATACACAAGATTATTTCTTACTACTCCATGATATGGTGCCATAACTGAGTAAGAAAACATGTCTTGAGGTAGACTTCCTTTCGTCTAGATCTCCTCCACGATTAGCATCACTGTATCCAACTAATCACAGATTATTGCCGCCTTGATAACAAAGGGCATAATTAGCAGTTCCCTTCAGATATCTCATGATCTTCTTTACTGTTTGCTAATGTGCTAAACCTGGGTCAATTTGATATCTACTTACCAAGCCAATCGCTTGACAGATATCGGGTCTAGTTCATATCATGTCATATATTAGACTTCTGACTGCGCTCCTATAAGGAACTCAACTCATTCTTCCTGCCTCTTCAGGAGTCTTAGGACACATTTGACTTCCCAAGGTATGGCCTTTAGTGATAGGAGTGTCAACTTGGCTACTATTTTGCATATTGAATCGTTCAAGAACTTTTCTAATGTAATTCTCTTGTGAGAGATACAATAGTTTCTTTGGACAATCTCTTGAAATCTTAACTCCAAGAATATATGCAGCTTCATCCATATCTTTCATCTCAAATTGGGATGATAACCATGACTTTATCTCGGTTATAAACTCCTTATCATTTTCAGCTATAAGTATGTCATCTACACATAATGTTAAAATCACAAGCTTGTTCCTTGATCTTTTGGTATAAACACAATAGTCTCCATCCATCATGGTAAAATCATTAGATACAACACATTCTGAAAGCGTATATACCACTGCCTTGAAGACTGTTTGAGGCCATAAATAAACTTCAAAAGTCTACAAACCTTTTGTTTGTGGCCCTTTTCAATGAAACACTCAGGTTGTTCCATTTAAATTTCTTTATCTATTTCTCTATTGAGAAAGGCAGTCTTTACATCCATCTGATATAATTCAAGATCCAAGCTTGCAACAATAGCTAGAACCAGGCAAACCGAGGTAAATTGTACAGAAGGCGAGAAAGTCTCTTCATAGTCTATTCCTTTATGTTATGTATACCTTTTCGCCACCAGTCGAGCCTTATATCTCTCAACTGTGCCATCAACCTTGAGCTTAATTTTGAGAACCCATTTGCTCCCAATTGCTTTGCGTCCTTCAGGGAGGTCAACTAGTTCCAACACTTTGTTGACTCTCATAGACTCCAATTCATCTTCCATTGCTTTTGTCCATTTATCTTTAGAAGGGCATGAGA